TCTTTATCATTATCTTTACTTTTATTACTACTGCGACAAGAACCTTCTTCCAGAAGAAGAGTTATATAAAGCTTACAATAACAGTTCCCGATAGAAGACAAAGTTCCTGTACCACTGGAAAGCTAGGCATAGGCCGAGTGGTGTCATAAGGAGAAGAAGAACTGAAGTATCGTTCCCCGTCCCAAGAACTAACTATCTGAGGCAGTATCGTTACCAGTGGTACAAAAATCCTCATAGAAAAGGAAACGGATTACCAATTCAGGCACTGACCAAAGGGGTGGACAGATAATTAACTCGCAATTGGGTGGTTGCAAAGTGTCATTCTTCTTGAAACTAAAGAGAGATCTGGTGACCTTCCTACGATCTTGATATTGTATGGCCATTTATCTCAAATCAGATTTGAATTTGTATCATTATGCTTTCCGCGTCAAGTCTTGCTACTTTGCCCGAGCCCCCATTCTACAAAGTTATTTCAAGTGCGAGTTGTAAGACAATTTGGTCAGTGCTGGCGATTGTATGGGCTAGCTGTAGATAACTATATGCGCTCAGATCAGATCATGGAGGGAATAATAAAGTCTCTTTTTGTTCCCTTTTTAACTGAAGTCTGCCAGTCTACCTTTACTCGCCATAGTATCCGCCAATCATTTGCATCTACTGGCATCTATCTACTAAATCCACAGTCCGTACATGGAAAGATTAACGTAAGAGTGGAGAAGAGGCAAGATACCCTTGGCATAATAAAAAAACCAAGCAGAACCTGGGAGATCCACCACCAGGTCCTTGCTGAAGGCAAGCTACTGGGGCGAGTGTCACTAGGAACTTCCGACTCCACTATTGATCACATAAAGGGCATATTGAGCTCGCTTGGCCACTAGCTGCATGCAGAAATAGCCAGTTTAGAGCTTTCACGTGATTTGAGCCTGAAGCTTCAATTAACAAATAAGCTCTACAATGCTCCCGATTACCGGAAGCTCAGTCAAGCACCAGGACTCCACTGTGCAGCTCTCCTTGAGCTCCAGAATGCAATGCTAGCAAAAGATCAAAAAGGGTAGGCAAGTAGAGCTACATAAAAACGGATTGGAAATACCCCATTGCAGGTCCGGAACGTAGCCTCAAAGGGAAAGGAAATTCCCCTAATTCTCCCTTCACCTTCTCTCAAACGCTTTACTCCTAAGCCTCAATGTTGCCGAACCAACACCATCACCCTTGCACAAACCCCGCATGCGCTAGTAATCGATTGGGAGGAGGTCTCGAGTGATGAAAACAGACTTGAAGATATTTGCGATTCGGAATGGTCTTCGGTGGTTATTTTCGGCCCTCCCCCAGTCGCTCCTGCTTCCCTCCCAGTCCCCATACCCAGCCTACCTCTACAAACCCCTACCCTGCGTATGAGCCGACGTACTTGCAAATCTCCAATTGACTAACAACCTTTGCTTCACTGTTTATGAACCCCCCCCCTCCTCTTACCGCCTTGATCTAACCCTTTCTTCTTCTTCAGACTTTTTCTACTTCTCTAAACTACCTATCTGGATTTACTCCCGCTCTCGCATTCTTCTCATATGTCTTGTGTCCCAATTCCTTACAAATTGAGGTTCTGGGGGGTTGATACCCTTCGGCATCACTATTAATTGCGCAATCTGAGACTGTGCCACTTCCCGGTGTTGTGACACTTCCCGGTGCCTGACGTTATAGCTCGTCTTCCTCGATATCGGTTCATACACCCATAAATCCAGCGGACACTGAAATGTCACGCCGACTCCACATTTATAAGTGAAGCTAGTTTTGGGCACAGGCCAATTCGGGAAGTATCATGTCCGGTATCATGAAATAAATATACTCCGTGGGAATTAGAGTTATTACGCAACATTGCTTGTGTTAGGTATTTTGGAAGTTGTAATCTGGTAGCTGGCGAACTAGTGAAGCCAGGAGGTTTTCAAATATCCGAGGGCTGTTATTGCCGGAAGCATTGCCGCATCTAGTCAGAGGCATTTGTGAGATAACGTCGTGCATTGTGATCTCGGGGGGTTAGCTACTTTGGGAAGCCCGACAGCCCGATGCCAGGACCCCACGGCGCCTCTATTCCAGAGCATTCAATTTAGTAATTTCAAACTGATTATCACATCTCCGTGTCGATACAAAGGAGACGACTTGAAGTGTGGAAAAGATAAGGTAAAGGGATGATAAATCGTCCGTTGAGGGTGATACTAATAAAGAAACAAGTGTAAACGTAAGCCATGTTATAGGCTGTGTGGTGGTACAATTACCTTCCGGCTTGCGCCCACTTAAGATGCACTTTGCTACTAACCCCAAAGGTCTCAACAACTCTCGTCATGAAAGCGCCCCGGAACCCCCAGGACTATTGAAATGTCACCTGTGATCAACCGGTCAACGGATACGTGGTTATCTGATTGAGATTCATTCGTTCATTGTTTCCCTTCCCTTCCTTTCCTCTTCTATTTGCCACTAATATCTCAAATTGTTTTCCTTCTTTTGCTATTAATCAGGCGCAAGGCAAGGTCACGGGAGATATCAATTTGGACATGCATGGTCAGAGATTGTCCGTGGCAAGGCAGTGGATAGTCGCGTTAGGTCTAGCAGGGAATACCGAAATTCCACAGCAGCTGGGACATTCCGACTGTATTACCGGGGAAATTATAAGTGCTGGCTATTGATTTTCTGTTGTACTAGTGGCAGGGACGCTAGGCGTGGGCCAGACTCCATCTCCGCCCGTGTAAAGTCCAAGTATTTTAACCAGAAAAAAGGATAAGCAACGAAGATCCAACGTTGAGTATCTCAATGATCCACAAATCATTGTCTTCTCGTCTTTCCCACACTTTAGTTTCTTCACATCCCATCTCATGACAAAGAATATAGAGTGCTCAAGAAAGCTACCTGTATTGGTGTGGCGGTAGCATGGCCCTCATGCTTGCCACCATTTGGCTAGTTCGAGAGTGGTTCGTATTCACGCGATACAGAGGGCGCGTGAGAGAGGAACTAGGTGGGGCAAGAGTATTTATTGTGGTCACTGCGGCTTGCTGTTCTTTTGATTTGCTTACCTGGGAATGTGCGGGGGGAATGGGAGACTTGTATGGCCTAAAGGGGTTTAGAGTGGAATTCTGCAGTATTTGGCGGAACGATGGGATGATACTTGCTCCTCCATTATTCATGTTCGTGTTTTCGCCTCTGGGTTAGTTGAGCATCAGAGCGGTGGAATAAAAGCACGTTTCCCGGCACGGAGTGGAGAAATAGCTGGAGCTTCGCTGTTTTGTTGTGGGTGTAATGACTCCTCAGGCCGCTTTTGCTTATTGCATTCTTGTTTGTATTGGTTTGACCAATTCGTTTGACCCGCCATAATTCAGCTGTTGGTCTCTCATTTGAACGTTCTTTTTTACAAGGGAGATCACCTATTTGAATGGGCAGTATGAACTGTACCGATAGCCAAAGGAGGTCATTTGATGCAAGGTTGGGGAGAGATAGATAATTTTGTGCCCCCGGTCTAATCGTTGGATGCAGGAAAACTACTGTTTGAATGACTCAAATAGAAATTGATAGTACAGCTAAGGCCAACCCGACACCAAGCTGTCAATATTCAGAATGCCGTTCACTTGCGAGCAGAAACAGAACTTCATTGTTTGAGCGATTTACGTGCTGTATTACGATAGATCCGACCCAGTCCAATGAATTCAGTCACGCTATTGAAGAGAATGTATTTAATCCTGAAGCGCCTACACGGCCTCCACAATCTATACAATAACAAAGCTGTGCCATGGGAAATGCATCCACAAGGTGGACACATGAGAATAGGTGATGGTTACTTGGGAAGCAATTATGTTCCGAACAGAAGGCATCTACATCGTGATGACCCCAATAGCCAAGAACCGCAAGATAACACCACCTGACAGAATAATCGAAGGAAGGCAATTGAATAACGAGACCTAGCACTAGAAACACCTTTGGATGGGATGAATGGTTACAAATACCCAAGAAGCACTAACGAGTTCGCGCCCTCCTACAGCCCAACCGTGGGGTTTTGTCCCTGCTATGGAGTTCCAGAAATTAAGGTATCTGTCATGAACGTGGCTTACCAAGGCTGCTACCCCGCAGTTGCTGTAGAAAGAATGTAACTGAAGGTGTTGTTAGATGAGCGATTGCCATGTCAAACAGTGATTTGGCGTCGATTCTACATTATGGCCAAAATATGGGCCCAGTAGTAGGATTAGCCGTTCTCATAATGGTCAGTTAGTGTTTCCAAAGTATCGGTGAATATAGAATCATAGTTAGTGGTAGCAACTGTGTACCCACGGGCGCCCGGATTACCCGGGTATCTGTAGTTTCGTCGTCTCGTGGTATGCCGTATCGGGGTTCGGAAGCAAGTTTATGATGCTCGGGCTATGTCCGGTCGGCACGTTATCCACGCGGGTTAACCCAGTGGAAGACCTGGATCCCGCCATTGGTCTCCCCGGTCGGAGGTCGCTAATTGCCGGTAATGTGCCCTTTCCCATGCAGGCGGGAAGACAACCTTGATGACCCATTCCAGAATTATAAAGACTCTTCCACTCCCGTGAGCGACCGCAATTATCAAAGATCCTAAATACTGCTTTAGTTTTGGCTGACAGAGAGTGTGATCTTACGTAAAGGAGACACTTAGAGCAAAGGTAGCCCTGTGCATGTGGATAAGGAGAGCGAAGGGGAAATTCCAAGGCAACCACGTGTACGAGTAAAAGTCCGCTGCGGAAGTGAACATTATTCTGAACATTATGCTGAACAGGACACATTGAGGAATAAGGCACTGAAAAAAGAAAAAGTGAAGAAGGAAGGAACATGACAAGTGGTCTGAGCTATGGTGTTGCTACCGCCGCAACAATGATGGAGCCGGGTAACGTATCTATAAGGCAGTGGTGTCCGCAAGAAAACAGTCACATTGACCCCAACCGCACGCTATAAATACCACACTCCCTCTCTTGGTAACAAGCACGACATTCTCCACCAAACTGATACATCGACACCGGCATATCTGACCAAATATTATCTCCAACCATGGTCGCAGCTATGATGGCAAGACAGCAGTCGGGTGGAACCCGTCACAGCTGCGACGAGACTGCGTTCCAGTTCACCTGTTTGGGAACGAATCCTCAGGTTTATATCAAAAAAACTCAAAGGAAGACCGAAAGTACGTTTTCCATGATGTCGGCACACAATAGCACTTATAACTACTGTTCTCTTCATTTCTATGCTCTGTCGTGCTTTCCATGATGGATATGGTTGAAACACCTATCGATAAACATCAAGTTCAAATCAGAGTCTATATTCACCGATGCTAACATGGTCATAAGCGCTCGAAATAAAACGGTCTACGTCAGATCTCCCACCGAATATCGCGACCCATGTAGCAAAATATTCATCACAAGTTGCCGCGGCCATTTTCTCCCAAATGCTGGATTCCTCTTCACCACTTGTGAGCACTCTCCCCGCCCCAGAAATCGCTATGCAGCAGCTCCGGGATGCCGCAAAGCGGCTTCAGGAGAATACCGATGCCCGAGCACTCTCGTACCTTTTACAAAACAACTGGCTTTCTACCGAGACACCAGAATATTTTTCAACGACCGATCACACCTTGGAACCGAATATTTATGAGGAAGGATGTCCATCAATCATGCAATTCCTCACTACACCAAATCCGATTGTACCCTCGAGTACTCGGAAATTATCACCTGCCTCAGTGCCAACCCGAAGGCTGGAGAGCTCTGGCTTCAATGGGGGTCATGAGTCATCACTTTGCCCCTCGAGCGTCGGTCTACCGGTGGGAAAACCTTGCGATCTCTTGTACGGGGTTGATCCACCATACAACCCGTCGAGCGACTTGCTTTTGTTAGAACATGGGGAACCCCCCGCGCAGGAGCTCCTATGCGCCTCCCGGGGTTCAGTGAAAACCATATCGGTGGCTAGTTATACGGGTGCCCAGGAATCACCACGGGCCGCGGTGATTGATAGAATGGGGCCCGAGCTGGAGCATCGGGAATTGATCAATACGATATTGGTGGTCCCGATAGCGGATCGCACTACCATCAATGCGTCCAATAATCACATCCCCAATAAATTTGCAGGATTGGGTGGCGATAGTGATTTCTTAGCACGATCAGGTGATGAAGCGATGAAAAGGGAGGGTTCGAACAACCAGATCCTTCAGGCATTCTCCCAATGCGAACCGTCAGCCTCTAGGTATGCACAGCGAAATTCCCATGATCGTGATGGAGAAACTGGGTGGCCACCGGTAAAGAAGGCCAAAGTGCCGCAAGGTCGCCCAATGCCGGTTAGGGGAGGTGTCGATGGCGAACGTGATGGTGGAGATAAGAACAGAAAAGGCATAAAAATGATGACTGACCAGAGGAAACGAAAGAATTTCCCGGATCAAAATAGGTACGTCTTTCACAAGCAAACTTAAGTTCTCTATGTTTCCACATGGTCCTTATTCACTAACCATCACATCATTGCAGTCATTCCGGTTTAAACCGCTGCGAACGCAAGAAGCAAGTGATGGCGCACTTGCGTGAAACTATTGAGTCGTTTTCCCGCGAAACGGAAATACTGGCCGCCCAAGTCACCTCTTATCGGGAAATGATTATGAAAAGACAGGCGCAGCTGCACCCTTCTAGCGAGAGTCGAGTCGCCCCATTTGGCGAGGCAAATGTGCCAACCATGGAACTCGATCCAAGAATTTCACACCCTGTAGGATATGAATTTCGGGGGGTGTTTGACCTACCCGCCATTTGATATGCAATCGCGATTTGTAAAAGGTGGGTTGGAAGAAAGGGTATCGCACGACACCAAAGTTTATATAAGGCTTCTCGAGCCCCGTGATCGGTGGCACCCAACCGCTGACAAGCAAATCGAGATGACTATCAAATCATCCCCCGCCAATGACTCCCTCAATTTTCGGGTTCAGGTAGATTACCCACCCCTATCGCCCCAAGGTCGATCGCTCGTAAAGCATTTACCGGGCATGGTAGTTCTTCTGCTGTCATTTACCGGGTTCTCTGGCCTCGTTGTGCACATGGTGGGCTATCTTTCTATGGTGTCTCCTTTCTCCTTTTAGCGCGTTGCGGGAATCATTACTCTGCGTTCGCTACACCCCGAGCATCGTTTTTTTTGTCCGGAGGCAGTACCTTAGACTAAAGGGGGGGTGGTTCGGGGAGGCCGTGGAGGGCTGTTGGGATACAGGATGGTGCAGTTAGTTTGTTCACGTGGGGGCTTTGATGGCATAGTTAGGAATTATGATATATACCCTTCAGGTATGCGCTGTGGTTAATGGAGGTCGCGGTAAATAGAATCATAAATTAGAAAATGACAACTAAAGTAAGCCATGTTACACCGCTGTCCTGTAGCTGGCCTGTTTCACTATCGCGATCGGGGATCTACAATTAGAATCATAGAAGTACTTGCCCGTGTTACCACACCGGGTTATAGACTCTGAATGTTGCAGGGATTCATATTCTAGTTACATGGTATTAACAACCCTTTAACTGGGATAAACAATGATGATAATACAGAGTAAAATAAATTAATACATTAATTATGATTGAATTGGAGAACCTCGGGAAGGACAATGGTTTTTGTGATAGAGTTCTTGGACAAAGGTCAGTGGTTGTGATGCAACCGATTGCATGACAACAACGAAACCACAACAATGGCACCACCTCATACCACAACGAAAGAAAGGTTGATACCAAAATAGTTGAGGAAGGAAAAAATGACCTGAGTCAATGCATTGGAGAGCCACTAGAATGAGGCAAGTGGAGACAGGTTTTACAGAGATATGGTGCAGAGTAGAAATACGGTCTTCCATGCTGGCTTCTGAATACCAACTATATAAGTGAACCGTGTCAGTTTTAGCTCCAACCAGAACCGGTCGAGTACAAAGGTTTTCGCATTTTAGTGCCCATCATGTGGTTTTTACCTATAGGTGTAACATAAAAATGCCTCCTTGGTTGCGTCGCAAAGGCTTTACCTCACAAGCTTCTGTTCAGACAATTAGGAGAAGACTTGCGGAACATGGCATCCATAGGCATATAAAAGCAGAGAGGCCAACAATAACACCTGTTCTGCCAAGAAAGAGAGATGAATTATGTATAAGGCACAGGAGTTGGACAGCAGATTAAGAGAGGAGGGTTGTCTGGCATGATCAATGTAGTTTTGAGAAATGTGCAGATTCAGCAATTCAATGGGTCCTCAGAACATACAAGGAAAAATAGCTTCCAGAGTATGTGAAGGTAGTGAGGAGGTCCGGTAGTATCAAGCATATTGTATGGGGCTTATTTGCTGGTAGATTGAAGGTAATCTGTAATGTCATAAAGTCTGTGGATGGGAGTAGAGTGAATGCAAGAGTATATATTAGGACTTTAAATATTTCTTTGCTTAAATTTTTAAAGGAATTAGAGGAAAAGAATATTAGGCCAATCTGGATTCAAGGCAATGCTAGGGTACATACTATTAGGCTTACAATGGCATGTTTGGTGAACAATGAGGGGGATGTTTTGCAGGATTGGCCATCACATTCACATGATATCCATCCAATTGCACATATTTGGGTACACCTCAAGAAGCTTTACCATGAACATTATGCTCACTTGGCTGCAGATACTAGATCTACAGTTGAGGTAAGGCCACTCATACACAATGCCCTTATTCGTCGTTGGGACCTGATATGGAAGCCTTTATTTGAAAGGTTAGTTGAGACTATTCCTATGAGAATCGAGGCTGTTATTAAGGTAAAAGAGTGGTATACTAAATATTAAACTGATATAGTGTATGTAATCTTCTTATTAAATATATTCTACAAAAGATTACATTCTAAATAGATCTGATCTACTATCGGAGAGTTGTTATTGGGAGCTGGTAAGTGGCCAAGTGATTGAAAAGCAAGGCAATGTTGACTTTTATCACAAAACTGTGGTCACATTATTATCATTTCCTGTCAGCACTATCATATTATAAGGATCTGATGCTCTTGATAATACCACATAGAGGTGGCCATGAGTAAAGACATTGTGTTTCAAGCAAATTCCAATTACCTGTAAGGACTACGCTTGGCTTGAATTGATTGGAATGGCAAATGCAAGTCTGATCGTAAACTCCCCCTTCTTAAGCAGAAATCCGAGATGGCTATCAGGATTACTCGTAATTTGATTACACGACAGACATGCTCTTTCACCTTTGCATGTCCTGTTCAAAACAATTGTCCTAATGATATTCCTGTGCAAGCCTTTAAACTGAAGTCTGGTATCATTACACTGACCATTTAGTGGACTGAAGTTTCACAAAAGTATGACCTTAGTACCAACAATAATTAATGAACAATAGTAAGGCATTTCCAATGGTTAATATCACTACAGATACTCACTAGAATATAGCTCAGCAACTCCCCCAGTAAGAGTATCTGCACTAAAGTATGTCGTAAACTCTGCAGGTAGTCGCTCCAAAACCATATCCTTGATATTTGCACCATTAATATTTCATGATACTAAAATAGCATTTTCTGCCAGAAATTGAGAAGTATGTACTATTTGTCCCATATTTGCATAGAAACTATCCATAAGATCTTCTATCTTGTTGTTTTACAGTTCTAATTTCCTTGGTAATTGAATTTTATCAATCATTTATTCCTCAAACATCTTTTCCCTTTTGCCAGCATAAACTCTGTATATTGAGTAGTCTCCCTTTGTTATTCAAGTAGCATTTGGCTCGCTAAGAGAAGATAGCTCTTCTTAAGCTGCCTGGGATTTACAGAAGACTAATGGTAAGAACTATTGGGACAGGAAGCAACAGTTTTGTTCATGTAATCCTCAAGAACCTATTGGTACAGGTTTTCTGAAAAGTTCAGAAAGCGGAACAGTCAAGCCACCAAATGGCTGTAGGAGACTATTGTGAATATTCCTTAAGGTTTTGTCAACTACTTTAAATGCATGGCAGTACTGGATACGTGCTTTGTCCAAAATCAATACCTTTACCTCTTCAATCAAAAATGCTTCCTGAGAGTTGTTCTGAATTTTGCAATACGAATCTTTATCAATATTGATAGGAATCATGAAGATTGAATGTGCACTTTGTCCAGAGTATAATAAGATCGCTGCAATCATACTTGATGCAACTGCAATAGTAATATTCCCTTGTTTATCAATCAAATTTGATAGCAGATATTCAACAATAGTGATTTCAGTGCCTCCAGGTTTCTCCAAGAAAGGTAAAGCAGAATGTTTAAGGGATATATACTCCAATATCGCATTCACAGTATTTCTTTGACGAAGATTGTATTTTAGAAACTTTCTCTTAGCTTGAACTCTAGGATGTACTGGATTGGCAATCTATTGCCCATTGTGATAGCAAATATTACAGTACGGTATCCAATTATCCAACTGAAATTTGTGAGTTGCTTCTGCAATTCCAATGGCTTCTCAGTACTTACCAATTTGATAAATAATTTCCTCCATGATATTCAAACTGAGACATAGCGTGTTGGTTAACAGTGTGGTCCTGAATCCCATACATGTATATTAATTGAAGTAGTGAGCTATCAGAAATTGATATCTTGAATCACTCCCATACCGCTTTTGGTGCAGCTCCATTACTGTTTGTCCAGTTAACAACAAAAAGAAGACAGTATTGAAAGCTTGGCAGCATTGTAGCTCTATTCTCAAAAACCTCTTTCCACTCAACATCTAATGCTTCTAGTGCTTTAGCATTACTGGCTTCAAGAAAGATTGACTATATTATGTGATTTGCTATTTTGAAGGAGTTAAAACTCGTGGAAGACATTGTATTAAGTAGTTAAGACCTTACGAAAAACTACTCTCCTGACTTTAGACCACAAAAATTTATTCACCCAATTGATGTACCCTGTTTACAAGCAGTCCATTCTTGTTCTTTGCATTGACAGACAATATAAGTGGAAAAGGTCTTGATACAGTATATTGCCTGCCAAGAAATGTTTAAAACTTGCCTTAAATTATGCTGTCAAAGTAGTATCTTGACATCCTCCTTGATTAACAACTTCTTGAAGATGATCCACTGCAGAAAAGTGAATAGATTGCTAGTAAGGAAGAGGTAGTTGAATGCCCTTAATATGTAGACTTTGATTATGTGTTTTGTTTCCTAATAGTTGCCTTGGTACTCTAGAGCTGAGATGTAGTGAGCATTAAGATAAATCTTAATTTAATTTATATTTAAAGAATCATCAATAGGAAGATTTGCCTGGTTGAATCCCTCATTAATATATTTGTATAAATATCATACTATCACAATAGCTGAACACATTTCCACATTGATATGATAGTTGTAGCATTTGGTAAGAAAATAATTACAGGGAATGAGTCTACTATGGTTTTAGTAAAATGTATATGTCATTCCATAAGCATGGACTCTAACCTTCTCAATATATCTTCTGCCTTA